TTGAACGTTCTTTTTCCATCTGTACATGCACCACACAAACAGATGGAGAAAGACCGTACATTGTGTATATTTTAAGGAAATTTATGGAACAAATATAAAAAGGAAAAATGGAAGTACATGTACAATTGTACACAGCATTTTTGTACCGGTAGTCAAGAGTGTGTAGGCCCACACAAGTAAGAAGGGCTGGAAACATGCACACCAGTTTTTGATGTCAACTGAAGCAAACCTTGATTATGATATGGTTGCCTACACGGGTATGTTCGTCGTACCTTTGGAATATTATCAAAGCTCAAAAGCCCATCATGTTAGGATTTGTACATGTATGTGGGTGATGACCTGCACGAAGGGTTTAACATGTACCCAACGGTACCGGTATGCCTCGTCATCAGAGGGTTTGGGTTTTGAATCCAATGGCTGGTAACATGGTCCGACTTTAAGCAAGTCACTTTCTCCCTCTGACATGCACCTCCCTCCACTCAAGTATTGTGTACATGTACTTATGAGGTTGGAGAACAATTTTGCCCAATCAGCTGTCAGAGGTTCTTGCCTAATGAACGGGATGGTCATTGTAAAGTGCTTTGTGATCATTTAAAATGATGGGTGGTGCTATTTAAGCATTAGAATGATATTAAAATAATGAGTGTGCCCGTAGGGAGACAGTTTTAGTAATTATGGTTACTTTAATAGAGAGACATTTCAATGTCACGTAAAGATTTCATGTCCTCCAATATGATTGTAATGCTTAAACAACACCTTCCATCATTTTGATCATAATGATCACAAAGCACTTTACAATTATTACTCCGTTCATCAGGCAAGAATCTCTGACAGCTGATTGGGCAAAATGGTTGTCTCTGACCTCATAAGTACACATTTTTACAATACTTGGGTGGAGGGAGGTAAGTGGGAGAGAGTGACTGCTTTGATCTTGCAGAAAAGTTAAATACAAATGTAGTTTACATGGAAATGAAATATTTGCAACATCTAGTTGAGTTAGGTTTTGTTGTATTAGAGTTCATTAGCAGAAAAGTTAAATACAAATGTAGTTTACATGGAAATGAAATATTTGCAACGTCTAGTTGAGTTAGGTTTTGTTGTATTAGAGTTCATTAGCATCAAGGTTTGCATTCAACTTTATGACAATACGTGTACATATATCTCCCGAAAGTAAGCACGTGAACAAGTAATGTCCATGTACATCTCAAATTGGGGTACTTTACTGTACATCTTTGCGTGTTATTGTTGTACATGTAATACAAGTGATGCAAGGTGAGAAATGGGTGTGGGAGTCTCTCCTGTTTTTTTTTCTGCGCAGTTGTTTTAGTCAAACCTACCGTATCATCACAGTCGTTGTTCACAAATTACAAACAAATCAGGGTTACATATGTAAAGCTTGTCTTCCTTTGCTCGCAGCAAGACAGTATGAATGTGACAGCCACAAATAATCAGATGAGTCCCATCTTGCCAGTGGCACATCTCCAAAATAAAGAAAGCCCTCCAAGATTCAGTCATAATTCCTCGTTCTTTAGTAAATCCCAACAGAGGACGATTCCCTGCTCTCCTCTTTCAAGGAGCTTGTTTATAAGCACCCGGGCTAACAGATAGATGTCAGCTTCTTGAGGAAGTGGCAGGGGGGAAGGGGTACTGATTAGAGGGGGCCTATCACTCCCCTGTGTACGGTATATTTTGTTTTCTGACGGGGGGGTGTTAGAAAGGAAGAGTTAGGATGGAGACACTCTGAGAGAGGAAGACGAATCAATAAAGGTCTTAGCATCTCTCCCCTGCTCTCTCCAGCCCCTCTGAGCCTCCACTGCATCCCTGCCAGGATGAAGGCCCAGGATTTATTGCCAAGAACCAAGAGCCTGCATCAAGTACCAGTAGATGGGACAAGGTGAAGAGTGCTTGGAAGTTAAACATGCAGAGAAGATGTGTGGCTGTCTTGCCCTCGGCTTTAAACAGATTTCTGCCTTTTAAGCACTCACAATTTTTCTTGTTTCCTGACTTTATTGCTTGAAAACTCCACCCACACACTTGCCTTCTGTCATGTCTGTTGTCTTTTGACTGTAATGAATACTCAGTAGTGGAGCCTATTCAAGCTGGAATGGTATCCCAATCCTCCGAAACAAATTCAGAATTTGGTCTGCATGAGCACTCGTCCCATTTTTATACACAAGGAAGACTGCAAAATATACATGTAAACATTGTGTTTTAGTTTAGTTGAAAATTTTAAACAGAGAAACAGCTTTTACCGACCAAAAAATGGACATCCCCGACAAAAATATGTGTAGCTACATGTAGTTTCTAAGGTACATGTTCATGTATTTAATACAGGCAACTGTTGATACAAACTACAGTGCATGTACATGTAATGTTCCTCCTGTGAGCATAGTCCCCACCAGAAACAAGTCCATCACCCGCAGGTCACTGAAAGAAATGAAAACAAGTAAAATTAATTTGCACCAGTCACAAGTGTCTCCAGGGCACATCAGAATGCCTTCACGCTGGTTTCCTGCCCACTTTAAGATTGTGTAGCATCAGGCACTTCTTGTAAATTGTACCCTGTGCACCTGCTCTTAGCAAGCCGTGATTGATGTAACAAACCCATTAAGCTTTCGATGTCCCTACCCCTTCTAAGCGAAAGCCACTTAGCAGTAACATGCATAAGTACTTGTGTAATACATGTACACGTACATGTACATATACATGCGTGTACATGTACATATGTATACATGCATACAAACAGCATGCATGGCTTTCTTGTTGGCAAACTTTGGATAAGCATACAGACCTTTTGGACTTAGTAAAAGGTGAAATGATGCCACTGTCGTGATATACACCTAGCCAGTTAATTTATAACCTTATGGTACGTCCTAAATGTACATACGCATGTAAGAGTACCGGTATACATGTATATTGTATGTCAGGAGTGTGTGCAGTAAAATTTACACTGGCTGAACATCCAGTGGAAGAACAATTTTTTGTTAACATGGTACAAGGATTTATTGCATGTTTATTGCAGCATGTGAATGAAGGAGGAATAATGTCGTGGCCAAAATGCTGAAGCCACTCATGTACTGTACATTTTTACATGTATGTGCACAGAGACAGAAGGCTTATGAGAGCAGTGAGCAGAGATTTCCACTAATATTCTGCATACATACATGTACATGGACATACACAGCGTATAGCTTGATACAGTATTTTGCAAAAGGATACTTACGATTTTCCAGGTGAAATGTGAATTATTGCATTAAATTTGAATAACAGAGGAATGGTTTGCTTTCCTGTCTCCAGCTCATCCATCGTCCTTTATCCTCCCTTGAAAGTTGGTTTGTAGGAAAAATCTGTAAAAAGGTACTGAATAGTCAAATCACAGGAAAAGTACGGGCATACATGTGCCATGTGTGAGTTTTGCTGATAAATGTAATGATACAGCAGAATAGAATATGCACAACTACATGTATCCTCTCCCAGTGGAACAAAAGAGGGAGTGTTTTTTGGGGGGGAACTCACTGTAGAGGTGCGCATTTATAATGGAGATCAATTGCACTTTTGACACAGAGCACGCTGAGTGCGCGTAACAAATTTATTCCAGAATTTATGGTCTTTGCGTACACGCAGAACGCATTCAAGAACCTGCTTGGAAAACTTACATGTCCTGCCATCTGTCTTTCCTTCGCCCCTTGGTGGTGCACTTCAACTCAGGGGCAGATACACCCATTGTGCTTGTACATGTACATGTACCTACATGTACATGTGTGTTACATACATGTAGCATCTGACCAGTACTGCAAGCTGTACTGTGCACAGCACATCATAGCATTTTCAACATTCTGCCAGATTGGTCTCATAAATGTTATCTGTGTCTGTTCCTCTTTAAAGAAGTTTTCTCGCATAGGATCATGTTTGCTCCTTGCTAATTGAGCTGAGGAGTCGTGGCAAAGAGCTAAAAGGATCCGATAGCCATGAAACGATCTTGAGGTTTAGTCACCCAACAACGAGGGGAGGGAAGGAGGGGAGAGTAATGTAATATCTGTCGTTGAAGTCACGCTGACAGTACGTGCAGGTCCAGTACGTGTGGACACTCTTGCTGCCGTGGCTTTACTTCACTGCATCGTCTCAAGCCCCCCCACCCACCCTCTTCTCCCTCCCCACCAGAGATCTCAGGATTGGAGTTTTATATTGCAAAATATCACTGTCGGCATTTCTCGGCTATCACAAAGGCATCATGGTTGGCCGAGGGCCATGCCCGACTCGTCCAATACCAACTTTTATTGAGTAGAGGTCCGTTTATTGAAATTTGACTCCTGCACCGGGGAAACAAGAAGAACAGTAACGTGATATTGAATGGAACAGCGCAGGGAGGGACAGGCGCATGGAATTAAAATTGACAGACTGCTGTGTCAGTTTCTCTGAATGCCCTCAACAGAAGCATGGGCTATTTTTAAAGTTTTGGTCATGGATGAATTGGACATGCCTTCCAGATGGGAGACTTTGTCCCAAAAAAGAAATGGCACTTGCCCTTGTAACAATAAGCACTTTATCAATATTTATTTGAAATGTCTGCCTTTTTTCCCAATAGTTTGGAGAGGTACATACATGTATGTATGGTACTTGTATGTTTTGCAAGAAAGGGAGTATTTAATCCATTTTACTTTGTATGTATGCAAAGTAAAGTACATGCAGTTACAAATTTCAAAGATTTGAGACGGGTTCAGTCCATACCAAATCATGAATTTACAGAGCCTCCCAACTTTTGACACAAGCAGTCAGAACATTAAACAGAAATGCCCATTTCTTCCCACTCTATGCTTTCATGACGTTATTCATTCAGAAAGTGGAAAAGACACCATCTGATGCTATTGACTTTACACAAGCTAATCCTGTAGCAATAAAAGAAGACCTGAAACTGAATCCCTGATTTTATATGCATGCCTCCCCTGACATTGAAATGAGACATTAATAGTCATCAATTTGTGCTCTACTTTTCTGCATAGAAAAACAAAGAGAAGCTTCAAGAAAGCGGGAGGCAGGCAGTCAACGAGAAAGTCCCAAGAAACCACGGCAACAGAGCAACAACTCCTCATTGGTAGATCAGCAGCCTCGGCGCTCGGCCCTCATCTCAATAGACAGACTAGCTGTGCCCTGGAAAACAACAGCTCTAGATAGACAACCCAGTGAGCAACCACTGGTTTCCATAGACAGTGAAAGGTGAGTTGTCGGAAAAAGTTCATCAATTAATAGACCTATCCAAAGCCCAATGTGCAATTACATGTACATGTGCAATGGCCCATGGACAATGAAAGGTGTTTGTTAACCCTAATTATCCGCTGATCCTTCAAAATCCGTCAGGAGATTCACTGAGGATTTTGCTGGATTGAGAAAGGTTGAAAACAGCCACTGTCAAAACATTGTGGTTTAAGCCCCTGGAAATTGAAGAATATGTTCACTGGTGTACTAATTAGCAAGTTAGGATTGACACTTGTAGACGTACATGTACCGGTATATGTAGATGTATGCAATCTGTTATCATTACGTTCCCTCCCATTTGCCCATGGAGCAAGCATGACTGTACGTGTACATGTACATATGCATACACAGCAAAGCACAAATTTATGTGAGCCTTCAGAAACCTTTGTGTGGTAGAATTCGGGGCAATTCCACAGCACACTATCGGTACCTTACATGTACATGTACACGTACATGCATGTATGTGTCTGGTTTGTTCCTTTGGAACCTTACGCCCTACAGCTTATAGCCTTTCAAATTGCCTCATTGACAGTAACAACCTACTGAGAATTCAGCTGAGATTTAGAAAGTTTTCAGTAGGTCACAATCTTGAAAGGTTCTGAGTTCCAACTGAAGAGGGCATTTCTTTTCTTGTCTCTCTCAGTTTTACAATGTACAGGGTGCGCGTCCCAAGCCCATGTTCCTCGTGGTCCATTTGGTATTCATGTGTAAAGAGCTTACATGGATGGTATAATCACCATGGCCTGAACTTCACCAATGGATCAACTTACTTAAAGAATCCTTGGGAACGATAAATTTTGGTGCAAGGTGTCCTGAAATTGCACTTTGTACCGTAGGTTGTTACAAATATACTGCAGTTTACCAGCAGCGGTTGTGCACACGCGTTTGTATAAATGTACACATTTATATATGGTATTAATCAGGCATCTATTAGAAGACGTTTCTAAAACTGGTGCCCCGTTCACACATCCCGGTAGATTGCTTAATTCAATCGAGTAGAATCACTGAAGGTTCAGTTGCCTTCAGTGTGAGAATGTGTACACGTCCTCCAAGGGCCTGGAATTGATTTTGTCCACTGGGAATGTAGTTCCACTGGGAAACATGTAACAGTAAGCGTCCAAATGGTTAGAAGACGGAGTAATATTGACGGAGTATTGGATGATTCTAAATACAGGCCATACAGACCTTAATGTCTGTCCACTCCTATCCCCACCTTAGGGCTTGTTGGCTGTGTAAATGATCGTAACTTGGTGCCAGGTTTACCATATTGTCCTTAATGGATAGGCAATTTGTATAGGTCTCTGTCAGGTTCATAAATACACAAACCACTTGCCCGTGTACATGTACATGGGCTCTGTGACAACCAGGACATACCGCACATGTATGTACATGCATGCACATGTACATGTGTTAATAATGTATGCATATTAGGTTAACAATACATTCTTACAAAATGACAGACTGCATTACATGGGACGATAAACCATTTCCCATTATGTGAATGGCAGCACGCTTCTAATGAAAATTCTGTTTTATGCAGAAGACGTTTGCTTTCTCTTCCACAATTGTGGTGAGGTTCAGAATTTCATTAATTATTTTAATGGCCTCTTATTTTTTTGGAGTGCCAATTCCACACCAGGAGTTAGTGGCCTCATTGTTCTGACGATACTCATTCCATCTAAGGAATTGCATGTACACGCACTGGCACACATGCAGAGTCCACTTTTAGGCAAGAGATGTTGTTTAAAAGACTGTCTTTGAGAAAAAGAGTACATGTACGGTACATGTACCACGTGTACCGGTACTGTGCTTGACCATAATGCAGGCACCAGGAGGCAAATCCAATCTGTTTTGTCTCGGCATGAAGAAACCGCTGAAAAATTCTGGAGGTATTCTGTAATGTCCATGTACCTGTATGTATTCTGTTGGGCCATATTACACCATGTCGACATCATTTCCACATCTTGCCATCACCTACTCTGTGTCACACTGCTCTGTCACTTGAGACTAAACAGTTTGCTCAGGCAATGGCAAGCTGTATTTTGTTACGGTAAATATACTGCCCACTAATGCAGGCCGGAAAAGTCACTTTACATGATGAAAGTGTACATGACCTGTTTTACACAACCTATTTTTTAGTGAGCATCTTTGGTCAAATGTAGGCACATTGTATGTAAGCAGAGCCCTTTGAAAATAAACTAATTTGATTTGTGGACATGCATGTCGCACCAGTTTGGTTTAAAGAGGTACATTGTACACTTACATGTCTATTGAGTCTGGATACTAGTACAGGTGCAGTATGTTCCTTTGTCCTTTCAAATGATAAAGAAGGTTAGAAACCTTGTTTCCCCTTTAAATTCAACTAGAAATGTAGGAATGCTGATTTAGTTGAATGATGATGTCGTCATTACTGTCAATTTGACCAAATTGTTTTCATCTGTGCCATCATCAACATTAACATCTCTGCTGTCACTAATTATCGTCATGATTATTATGATATCATCATTGACTGTGCCCCCTATCAGTACATGTAAATGGTACATGTACTCAGCCACAGTTTATAAAACATACATACAGCAAATTTGATGGGATGTTTAATAGCTGTCCATGCCTCCTCTGCATGAAGATGAGAAGTCCCATCAGTGTTCAGCTAGGGCAGAATTTTCTAGCATTTGTAAAGAAGAGGAAAAGAAGCCCTATGGGAACATTGAGACATGACACCAGGACCGCTTAATACCCCAACATTATCCTGTAATTATCGTTGAATTCAATAAGCCATAGTAATTTTGTTGCCAGAACATCCTTGCCTGGAGAACGTTGCAATTTTTTAAAAAGCAGTTGCGGATGGCTCCCCCTTAAATCCAGCCATTCTCAGTCAAGTCACACCTTAAATGTGTGTACATGTACGTGTACATGTAATTTCTTTTCTTTCATTCCATCAAAATCTACATGTAGTTCCTGGTTTGATTTTAGCTTTCCAATGCTGATTTTCAAGTGGATGGGACAGATTTGAAATGTCAGAGCAGGAATATGAGAAAGTGAGCGAAATCATCTTGGCCCTTTGTGCATGTAACTGCCCCCAGGTTTTGAGCACATGTTGTTCCAGCACAGTTGGTGAACAAAGTTGGAAACAATTCCATTCTCGTGCATGAAATAAGTTTCATAAGAAAATAAGATCACCAAAGATCAAATATCTCTTTACATTTGTCTTACAAAGAGTAATGCCCAATCCCTTTAAACTGTCAGAAGCAGAACCTGAGAGATAGTTCTGAATTTTTATCTTCCAGGCGTTGGGTGTATTTTTCTGAGATTCCAACAGTGGACAGAATCACAAACGACTGTCATTGTTACCTATAATTAAAGCAATTACCACAGGTATTGAGAGCATTGACAGGAAATGAGATATCTATCTGTGGGGCTTTTGGACTGCTTAAAGTGTTGCTTCACCTCGCTTGTCCAAGTTCAGTGGCGCTTGGGCCTCATCATTGACATATCCAAGTGGCCCCGAGGTGTGGATTAAAGGATCCTGTATGCCAGTGTTCATACTTGAAGATGAAAGTGATCCACCGGACAAGTGTGTTTGTGCATCTTGAAGAGTGTCACGGACCTTCTTGTGCAATTGTATCCAAGCATAGAGGTAGAAAAAAATGTTCACTTAGAAATACCGGTAAATGCAGACTCAGGTAATCTTGTTAGTTTCGGAGTGCTAACAGGAAATGTGAAATGCATGTGTTTTAAAAATTTCCAAGTTTGCAGTTTCTTTATAATCACATTTCTTGCAACAAATTTTTTTTTTGCTACTGTTTGAGAGCCTAAATCAATTCAGGTTTCATAATTTGGTTTCTGTTGTCCATATTCAGTGGCCATGGGATCACTTTATTGGTTGATTTGATGGCCTCGAGGTGTGGATTCTGTAGCCACTGACACCTCAATAAAGGTCATGCCCTGAATAAGGTGAATGGGTGATAGTGGGACACCTTACATGTACCATAGAGCTACAAACCCCATGCATGTACCATGTACAGTGTAGCTCACTGTCAGCACAAGCTGTTAGGTGCTTACATGTACATGTGCATGTACATGTACCCTACATGTACATGTAGCATCTCAGCTCTCAAGGATGAAGAAAAAGTTGTGGAATGCTGTTTGCAATATTCAGTGCATTTGTGGGTACTAAACATGGTATACATGTACATGTGCATGGGTCAGTGGACTGTACTCCTACATGTACTGAGTAAGAGTACCCTGAAATGCAATTTAAGCATGTGTCCGAATCCAGCATAAGCTGGCTACTCTGCTAGTAAATGCCCATGGCAAAAATCAAAGCCACAGCCACAAAATATCCAATTTGGCTGAGGTGTGGATGGAGACCTCAACACCATTTGCATTTGTGCATTTGTTCCCAGTAGCCTTCGGCTCCGATTAAGGTGCTGTGGCTTTGTGTACATTCAGTTGAAATGTGGTCGAGTACACTCTGGTAGTTGGGTGCCATTTGCAATTTTTATGAATTCTTGTTACCTACACTTTGTATATTGCACCAGAAGCTCACTTTAAGAAATCTGTTGCTCTCAGTCAGTTTTTTCCTGAGAGAAGTGAAACAGTTAATGAGAAAACAGGAATGGAATTTCGGAGAAGGGAGACAATGCAAGGTACCAGTACATGTACGGTAGCCAATGCCTTGAAAAGTTTCTGAGGAGTAGTTCTTTCTTTAAATCTCTGGATGGCTGTACACACTTAGCGGTACCAGTGTATGCACCAAAACATCAAAGATATATCCAGTACATATTCATCTTGGTTATTGTCATATCTCATCTCACATGTACATGTATGTGTATGGAAAAAAGTCTTATACTTTGAAGGATTTACATGTGTACATGTACCTGTACACATGGCTCATTTTATCGATGTACCACACATAACACATCTTTACCTGAGCCGTACATGTACATGTATGTACTTAG